AGATCAGTGCCTTTTCTCCCCAAAGCCACAGATCTTTTGGGCACTGGCGTATGGGCCGGGAGAAGGCGAGTTTCCCTCGCCCACCTTTGTGGAACAAAATCAGAAGGGCACCTCCATCACTGCAGAAGTCAGGAGAGGTCTTGCCATCTGCCGTGCCCTGTGTCCTCCTGCGTAAGCCACAAGCGGCTCCGGTTCCACGGGGACGGTGACCAGCAAGCCACGGCAGAGCGGGAGCAGTGCATCGGGTACAGAGCCCCAGGCACCAGGCAAGGCACCAGGCTGGCACGGCCTCCTGGGTGCTGGGCTGATGGAGACGGTGCCAGGGCCTGGGTACATGGCACGGGCGTCTGAAAAGGGACGTTGTTGCCTCCATCCTGCTGTGTGCCCAGTTGGCCTGGGCAATACGAAACATATTGGGGCCTCCGAGAGAGTGGGGCTATTTCTAGCTGCCTCACCCCCATACCCACGCGGGGCCCAAGGCATGGGCAGTGCCACTTCGCCTCCCTCCTGGCGCCTCAGGTAGGAGCTTCTCATTTGCTCCTCGGGCACCGCATCGTGGCCTCGGGCCAGCTCCCTGTTGCACAGCCGGCTTTGTTTCCATGCCCATCCCTTCCTCCCGCCAGGGTTTTTCCGCTCCTGGGGAGCGCTGCCTGCTGCCCCGGGACAGCTCCCACTGCCGCTGCTTGCAGGCTTCCCACCTGGGGGGGGGGAAGGTCAACCACTTCTGCACCTCCAGATGTCGTTCGTCATGGTCCTGGTCCTGGTCTGAGCCCAGGAAGAGCAACCAGGTGCAGAAACCCCACTAGATCCTCCCAGATGGAGACACCTGAGCCCTCGTCCAGCTTGTCCTGAGACCCCCACGCCTCAGCCGCCTCCAACATGGCTTCTCCTCCCGGCTTTGGCTGCTGGTCCACCCAGGGGAGGGAGTGCCCGAGCAGCTGCAGCTACCTGGTGTGTCCTCCCTTCCCCATCCACCTTCCTCCCGCAGGGCCTTATGGCGGCTCCCGCAAACCCCTCTCCTTCCTGCTCGGCTCATGCTTGGCACCCGTCCCCGGCACTCACTCAGCCTGGCCAAACCCCGCGTTGAGTCAGGAACACCTGCCCGTGTTTTTCTTCAGGCCCCGGATCTCCGGGGACGTCGGGTCCTTGGGGGCCGCCGGGATCTGGCTGTGCCCATCGCATGAGAGCAGGCACGCGCCCTGGACCTCTCCCTGAAAGCTGAGGGGGGGGTTGCAGGTTATGGCTGGGGTGAACATCCCTATGGGAAGAGTTGGGTGAGGAGCAGCCTCCTGGGGAGCAGCGGGGATGCTGGAGAGGGGCAAAACAGCTGGTGGGAGCAGGTGCCCTGGCAGCCGCAGTAGCCGAGCCCCTGATGCTGGCTTTTCACTCTCTGGGTCCTCCCGTGCTATTTGGTGTCCCAAAACCTGGCCCCACTGTGCATCTGACCATACCGGGTGTTTCTCTGGCAACGCTCCAGTCCGTGGCCATGCCTGCAGTCAATGCCCACGGTAGCAGGTGGCGGCAAAGACCTAGAAAAGGTGTTTGCAAACAGCATGGCGAGTCATCACGAGCCTCCCCGGCTCTCCAGGGGACGAGAGAGGGGACCCAGCTCCAGCAGGGAGGGAGACCCAGACCCCTGTCACCAGACTGGACATGATGTCCAGCCAGGCGGGCTCACTCCCACCGCCCAATGCTTTGCCCAAGCTCTGTTAGCCTGCACTGCAACTCCAGTTTTGCAAAGGTGCCTTGCTACCCCCAAGCCTTCCTGAGCATCCCTGAGTGTCCCAGCCCCGCCGGGCGGGTGTCCCACGGTGCCCACGCTGCTCGGTTGCACGGATGGGCACCTCCTGCCCTGAGCAGCTGCACCGTAAGCCATGGGAAATGTCCCCCCCCGGGAAGTGAAGGTGACCGTCTCGCTGGGCACAGAGGCCATGTGGCCGGCCGGGGTACCAGCCCACCCGCAGCCGTGGTGTGCCATGTTTCCTCCACCACCACGCCTCTGCTCCAAACCTCACCACCCCACTCAGCCAGTGGCTGCCACCTTCTGCGTCCCCACCAAGGGTTCACTCCACCTTGAGGCAATGTCACTTCACCCATCACTCTGTCATCTCTCCTCTCCTCCGGCAGCTGCGCTCCTGTCTCCTCCCATCGCTCCCTGTCTCCTTGCCCAGGACTTGCAGCTGCTCTCCTGTTGGGCTTGCCGGGTGTGGGGCTTGGGCTTCCCAAAAGCGGGTCAGCCCCTGGGCTGGTGTGCCCTGCCAGGCCCTGGGTCCAGCTCCCACACAGGCACCTCCATTTCATGCGCCGGCTGCTCCCCCAGGGATGGCTCAGGAGCACTGAGCACTGCATGCCAGCTCCTGCCGTGGAGCTGTCTTTGCCGCTGTTGTCACTGCTCCTGGATCTGCCTCTTCACTTGGTCTCGGGGATCACGCCAGGCTGGTTTGGGGGACCTTGGTTGCACCCGTTGGCACAACCAGGCTTGCCGTGGAGGTGGCTGCACACCGGCGCAGGCAAGATTGTGCTCAGGCAAGCTGGGTGGCAAGTGACCTTCACACGTGGCCTCATGCGTTCAGTATCCGTGACCACGGTGGTGGATGGAGGCTTCAGTGGTGCCGCTCGTTAGTGTTTTGTTGCAGACGAGCAGTGCAGGTTTAAAGCCACATCTGCCTTGTGTTCCCCACCTCCATCTGCACCCTGGAGCCGTCTGGGTGCCACAGACCACTGGGTGACCTAGGGAGATGTGACCTGACCTTCCTCAAGCCCCCCAGCCACGGAACCAGGCTGGGGCTCATAAAACCCCCAAAACATGTATGGTGAGACAGCAGCTCCTCAGCATGGTGTCACCCTCCAGGTCCTCCTCCCCTGCACCACACCGCCTGGAGACGAGGATGGGGAGGGGGGTGCAGCCCCTGGGGGCCCTGCTGGCAGCCCTGGCCGGCGGCACAGCTCATGGTGCAAGGCAGGGGGTGAGTCTGGGTGTTGCCAGCGCTGAGGGCTCGTGCATGCTTCTCACCTTAGCAAAATAGCTCATTAAGAGCTGCTCATGCCATTATTGTTGTTATCATCCACACACTCCGGGCGGTCGGCGCGGAGGGCAGGCTTATGAGAAAGAGCACTGATGGATTTATCTGGAGAGGAAGTCACACATAAAGGATTGCTCAAGCTTCATAAATAGACCCGAGGAAAAAAAAAAATTAAAAAAAAAATAGGTCAAATAGCATTGAACTTCCCGGTGAAACAAGCCTGTTTGAGCACTGGGCCCCGGGGACAGGCAAGAGTGGGCAGCGGCCAGTGGGGAGGGGGCCGGCGAGCAGTGCACCCCAGGGAAGGTGGGAGCTGACAGGGCATCAGCTCCCTGGGTTGACAGTCTGTGCCCACAGCCTCGAGGGACCTGCCTCCCCCCAGCCCTGCCTGGGCACAACCTGCCGCCTGCCCAGGCTTGTGCCTAGAGCTTCTCTGGGTGCAGCACCCATGGCCAAAGAGGCCTGGCTGAGCCCAGAGCTGGGGTCAGTCGGCTGCAGGAGGGCTTCTGGGGAGGTGTGGGGTTTGAATAGCTGCAGGATGGAGGTGCCACAGCCTCCCCAGGCAGCCTGGTCCAGCATTTGACCACCCTCACAGGAAAAAAATCCACACCCCCCCAGGCATAACGCATTGCTTTCCCTGTTGTTCTCGCTGCCTTCCCTGGCAATTCCCCGCACCAGGTTTGCTGGGCTTTTGAGCGCTCCGGGGCCATAAGCTGACACATCCACCAAGTCAGGATTATTCCCTCCTTCCTCTCCAATTTGTGTTTATGCACGTTGAGTTTAATCTGCTTTTTTAGCATCCAGCCACTTGCAAACCTTAAGCTCCTGCCGCAGCTCCCGGTGTGCATCTACGAGCCAGCCAGAGCCTTCAAGGCACGAGGCATGCTGACAGGGATTAGGGAGCCAAAAAAATCCCCAAGTGGACACCCCTGCACCCTTGCAGTCATGCAGGGCCGGTCTCTGCAGGGGGAATGGCGGTTCTCCTCATCGCGAAGCCCCGTGTCAGTAGGAGCATTCCGTCCTGCCCCAGGACTTGCTGCCGAAGGCTGCAATGCTGCGTGGGTATGCCCTGCTCCGGCACCGCCGGTGCACCGTGGTGGGACTGCAGCATCTCCGTCCATGAATGTTAAAATGAAATAGGGCTTTATCTTATGTAATGGTGTTTAATGTTTAATGCTGTTACTTATAAGGAGGGTGTTATGCACAGACAGCGCGTGTGCTGGAGGCCGCTGCTAGTTCATCCTCCTCCCCGAAGAGGTGCAAGCGGCGTCTCTAATCCCTTCCTCGGGGTCTTCTCCGCTTTGAAGGGACTCGAGTGGAGGTGTTGCCTCCTCTCCCCGCCTCCACCAGGCTGTTGCTCTGGGGGAGCATCCCCAGGGTGTTGCTCCAGCATCCTTCAGTTCAGGTTCCTCCGGCTCGGTTCATCATACCCTTGCAGCCCACGCCGAGCCATGCGTCTTCCTCGCTGCCCTCACCCACTGACGCTCCCGGCCTCGGGAGGGCTCAGCCCCAGCCAGACCCCAATTCACTGTTGGAGGGGGGCTCGCCAGCCCCCGTGCAAAAGCTGGGTTGGGAGCCTAGGTGTGCTCCTTGCTCCCAGCAGCCATTTCCTAGCCCCAGGCTGCCCACCTCTGCCTCCAAAGAGGGTGGTTCAGGGCTGGGACGCATTGGTGGGGCCAGGGGAGTGGGGTATCACCCTAACGGCTCTTCGCCCCCTCCCCAGGACGCTGACAGACCTGCTGAAACAGCCAGGCCATGGCCCCTCCGAGCACATGGACAGCCTCATGGGGGGCGTGCAGGTCCCACTGGGCGAGGGGCTGGCCCGGGGGCCCCCCAGGAACGGCACAGGTAAGGCGCTGACACGGTGGGGAAAAATAAGTTCCCTTGGGTGAATAAAGGCAGCGGGAGGGCGCTGCCCGTGGCTGAGCCCCCTGCCTGCCTGACTCTGCCCCCCCCGACAAGCCGCTCTTCAACAAC